ATAAATTCTATATGGGAACCTCTCTAAAGATGGCGATAAACGACTAATTAAAAGAACGCCAACCTAAAAACTTTATGGAGGAGAAACCCTTTTTGAATACGGAGGATAAACCTTCTGTTTTTTACGTGTAAAGATTTGTGACTTAATAACATTCAAGAACTATTTTTAAATCACGTTTCTGTTATGTTTAATTAAAAAATAGGGTAATTATGAAATTTTTAGACTATTTCTATAATTATAATAGTTTGGATCTACTTTATAATCTTAATTTTTTTAGTTATTTTCATAATTTTCAGTAGTTTTTTTAAACAAAAACTAAAGTATAGTAAATTATAAATTTCATATTTTTTCTATATAAAAATATTTTTTTGGTAAAAAATGTGAAAATTAATAATAATTTAGTAAATTTTTTTTATTAAAATAGTTGAAAAAAATATACAATAATTAGTTTTTTTCAAAACAACAAGTCAACATAAATAGCTATATAGTCTCTCTCTCTTAAAAACTTCTCTTAAAAAGTTTTCTTCTTTTGAAAGTTTCGCCGATCTAAGCTTGTTTGGTTCCGGCTTTATCCACTTGGTGTTTGTCTTCTCTGTTTGCTCGATTGGCCCAGTCGTAGTGTTTCCTTAGCCTTCTTGTTTGAGATGGCTTGTGTAGTATAGTGGAGGTGGTTATGTGTTTCGCAGAAGATGGTGGGTTATGGGAGTTGCTTTGATAATGATTGTGGTTTGGTCGATGCCGCTTTTATTTCTATTGGTCTGTTCTTTCTGCTTGTTGATCCTGGTTTGTTGTGGTCCTCGCAATCGTCCTGGAGCTATTTGAGCGGTTCCTTCTTCAGTTCTTTAGGTGATGTTGGTTTGGATTGAAGTGCTTATTGGTGGATTATTGTTTTTGGAAGGAGTTGATAGCGAGACTGATTTCCCTTGCCCAGCATATTGGCGTGCCTTTTCTTACCGTTTTTTTCAGAATAATCTCCAATCGGCGATGTACATCAATTTGGAGTCTCCTCGGTGGGTTGGTTTGCTCTTCTTGTTGGTGATTGCTTGCTTTCCATGTTTTCATCATCTTCTTCCGATGTGAGCTTGCATTTAACCTCATCCGTTGTGGATTGGTGGTTGCAGATTCTTCAATTCATGCGCCATTATTGTCTCGTGTTCGTCTTTGGTTTGTTGTACTGCTTAGTATCTCCATGGCTCGGTTTTGTGTTGTACCTTTCGAATTTGGATCCTTGTTTTGGTAGTCGTTTGGAACTGTTTTTGGGTTTCAGTTCTAAACGGATTCGTTTCTGTGTCGGTATAATGTTTCTAGATGC